TTGCCACTCGAATGCAGGTCCATCAGTATTCTCGCCCGAGCCTCAATGTTGAGGACAGCGATCAGGTCTGAGCAGTTTCAGGTGATATGTGATCGGCTCTCTGCAGCTGAAGGCGATGATGAATATTGCCCTGCTTACATGTTGCACCCGTTTTTCAAGCAGTCTATCCTCTATTTCATGAAAGCTGAATATGATAGATATATGGCCATTCCTTATGCCCCCTCGCTCAAGCCACCCAAACTACTTCAGCAAGCTATCACCAAGTTCCTTCTTCGGAAACGTGAATATGTCGTTCCCGCCGAACTCGTCATCCATAGAATGTTATATTGGGATAAGACCTGTACTCCTGCTGATGCTGATCTGACTATTATTCGTGTGAATGCTGTAGGCCAGAAGCTCCCTAGTTTTGTAATTACATCCATCCTCAAATCCCTATATAACGCCTGGCCAACGACTAGGAGGTTCCGACAAGCTACTGCCCAGTGTGTTCTCGGGTGCTCGGGCCCTGGCAACGACACCATTCCCCACTATTTTTCGTGTCCTGTTGCAGTTCCCTGTATTAGGAAACTGCTTCCCCAGCTCCCCCCATCCTGGGGGATTGACCCCCTTGCCAGTATTTTGCCCCACAGGTGGCCGTCCTCATCTGCCACTCTCTCCCCATGTCTTGCACGTGAACAGCAGCATGCCATAGCACTTGCTTCTGATCTTTTGTTCACTGCTTTCAACGCCTGCCGCAGGAGAGGGGTTCTCGGGAGGCGAGCAGCTCGGAAGTTTGCTGCGGAGGCCATTCGCGCAAGGGCGCGGCAGGCTAGCTTCCGCTCGGTGGTGATGAAGGAGTTGTTGCTCTAACTCGGTTGGCGCTCCTCTTCCTCCTCCTCCTCCTCCTCATCCCCCTACCTCCTTCCCGAGGTTATATAGACGATCGGGGATCGATGCCTTTGAGAATTGTTTTGCATTTCGAGCCTTCTGTGCCATCCTCGCCACCGCGGTTGGATTCGCCTGGGAAGTTTCAGGATGCATCCCAGGACATGTCCACGGATCGACTCTTAGGTTCGCCTAGGGCGCAGACGACCATGGCGCCACGAACCAAGCGATGGCGGCGGACCTTTGGGGGCTCGATCCCGATCTCCCAGAGGGCCGCTTCTCGGGAGGGCCCCCCGGGAGCGCGGGGCCAGGTCCGGGCTTCATTGTTCAGGAGCGTCCCCGAATGCTCTCAGGGCGTTCCTCGGAGCCGTGGTATGGGGGCCGGCGCAGATGGGGCTTCGGGGAGTTCGGAGGGCACCATCTATACACCAACGCCGATCCTGGCCCAGGATCACCCTGGGCCCAGGATCGGTGTATATGCCTTCTTGCGCAAGGCAGGAGGGCGTATACACGGATCCTGGGCCCAGGGTGATCCTGGGCCAGGATCGGTGTTGGTGTATAGATGGTGCCTTCCTAGGAGTGGTGCGACAGTATATGCCGTGTCGTCTGTTCCGACGGGCGGCCTGACGTCTGTGGGAGGGCGCCTCGTCCACCAGGAGTGCAAGCTCCGCCTCGGATGCAGGGCTTGCCGTGGGGTCTGCCGCGGCGGCGGCCTCGTCTGCCTGGGCGCGGGGCGCAGAAGGTTTGCCGCGGGTTTGCCGCGGTGTCGGCGCGCCGTCCACGTCTTGCGCGTCGAGAACAGACGGCGCGGCGAGGAATAGCGCACTGCTGCGTGCAACCGTACTATTACATGGGGAGTGCAGGTCCGCCCGCGCTCAACCCAAGAGATCCAACGTATTGAAAAAACATCAAGACGGAGTTGTTTCGCCCGTTTCGGCCTCCAGGTACCCTCGCCGGGCCCCAGGACCAACAAAAAACGACTCAGGATGAAAAACCGGTCCCGGGGAAGGGGTCGGGATCTCCAGGGACCCCGTATTCAAAAAATCACGACATCGGATCTTTGGGACTATCGCATTCAACCGCGCGCAGAGGGGGGTGAGGGGAGGGGGGAAGGCTTCTTAGAAGCACCCCTGCCTCTTAGAAGGCGCGGGCCTTCTCTGTAGATACAGAGCCGCCGCCTTCTAAGCAGCAGCCTCCTTCTAAGAAGAAGCCCTCCCCCCTCCTTCCACGGTGGAGGGGAGGGTGGGCTGGATGCGTTGGCGGCGCGCACGTGGAGGCTCCACCCCCTTGAGCGCGCCGCCAACGCATCCAGCCCGCACACTCATAAATCCAGGCCCGAACTATTGAACGTATTATTGCACTCACACACACAATAGGTCCTCCAGAACCCCAGGACCTCAGACACCCTAGCGTCTTGTTCTGGTCCCAGGTCCTGGTCCCGGCTTCCTCTTACCCCGTCGGGGGCAAAACATCCCAGGGTCCAGGGGACTCCTGGTGCGGGGACGAAGGGCGTCCTCCACCACCGAGCCTCCACGGGTATGCAATCACACGCCGAACCCGATGGTGAATTCGAGCCGCGTTAGCTCCCAGCGCGGGCGTTCAGGGTTGAACGCCGCTAGTGGCCCAGAATCAGCCGACATCACATCGAACGGCTTGCGCTCTCAGAAAGCGGTGGCCCTTTAGTGTTGATCGATCCATGCGGTGACAGCAAACCACGCTAATTCCATCGCGCCGTGAACCTGCAGTACCTGTGCGGGTCCAACTGCTGCCATGGTAAATCCTCGACGCGCCACGCTGGGGTTCACGTTGCCTCAACCGCCCGTCAATGTCTGCTTCCCACAGCGGGAGTTGTCGGACGATTCTTCCTTGGTCGTCAGTTTTCTAGCATAAGCGAGGTATTGTTCTAAGACCATGTTAAGGCTACTGTCTCCTGTGAGCTGGACAGGGTCGTACCCTTCTTGAACATGTACTCGCATATGTCTGGTGAACATCCCGCCCATCCCATTCCTGGCAGTCCGGTTTCACGCGCGCTACTGCTCACCAGCGCCATGATCAGGATGAAGGCACCAGTTTGAGCATTGCCTTGTGAGTAGCCCCAACGAACATGTGGACAATTTCCTCAACAGTTGAGCGAAAGCTGTTGCGCTGTTGCTTTCCTGGGCCAGGGGCTGGCTTTTCAGACGCGATGGGGCTAGGCAGCGTAAAGCTTCATGATTGGAAGGGTGGGTTCAGATGGTCGCGCCCCGCAAGAACCCTGAAGCTATAATACTAAAATTGCCAGGGGACCGTACAGGCGGCCAGAACCCACGGGCCACGGCGAGACGTCTGCGCGCGTCGCCAGGGCGAGAGTCCCGTTTCCGAGCACGGCCCGCCGGGCATCGGTATGCAGCTCTGTCACTGCAAGCTTTGAGATAGGATGGGAGGTTGATAGACCTCCTACCCTGACACGTCGATTAGCGAATTGGCCGTTGCCGGTTCGCGGGAGGGCGTCGCGGCCGTCATTTGTGCGGGTCCAGGTCCGCCGTTTCGGTCTTAGGCCGTTTTCACTAAAGGGTGGTTTACTAAATCGAGGTTTGTCCACCGCCGATAGGAAGCGGGTGGGAATTGGGAAGTCTCAGATGAATTGTCTGGACCGCCCAAACGACGTCTCTGGTCATGAGACAGGAAGCAGCGCTTCAAAAGGAGGGCTCGCTAAGGAGATGCACGTGCTAGTATAGGAGGAGGAGGAGGAGGAGGAGGAGGAGGAGGAGGAGGAGGAGGAGGGGGGAGGAGGAGGGGGAGAAGGAGGGGGAAAGGAGGAACACGACAAGGGGAAGGCCGAGAAGGGATGACAACGCCAGTGGAAACGGATGATGATGAGGAGTTGGAGGAGGGAGAGGAGGAGAAGGAGGAAGAGGAGGAAGAAGAAGAGGAGGAGGTGGAGGTGGAGGAAGAGGAGGTCGAGGAGGAGGAATAAGAACAATGCGATACAAGGAGAAGGGACAATTCTTGTGTCTACGTGTTTCCATTTGGTTATGATTGGTTCTTAGGGGCGTCTGGGGCTTCTAGGGGGTCGCAGGAAGGAGGAGGATAGGTACTACGCAGGAGGATAAGGACGAGGGGCAGGTGATAACCAGGCAGGCGCCCAAGAAAGAGGAAACGCCGCAGGCGCGTGGATGTTGCTGACACGCACTGTGTCGGTTTATACTGGGCCTCCTCCACCATCGCGGACGTCGGGCCCCACCGTTACGAAGCGGCTTTCTTCAAGCGAAGGGGCCGTACCCGAATCACACGGATGGCTGGTCCTGTAGCTCCGCGCGCGTCTCTGGTTGGCAGAGGGAGGGGGAGGAGGAGGAGGAGGAGGAGGAGGAGGAGGAGGAGGAGGAGGAGGACAGTACCCAAATGACACGCGACGTGTGGGTTGTTTTCCGAGGCCGGCCGTCGACCTCGTGTCAGCTCCTTCCTCGCTCCGCCCTCTTGCTCTTGCTGCTGCTGCACCCTGCACTGCTGCTCCTGCTCGTACTGCCTCTGCTCGTTATGCCTCCCTCCCTGATCATCCCCGGGGCATCCCGCCGCCTTCGTCGTCGCCGTCCTCGTCCATCCCCGCAGCACATGTATCCAAGAGCCTCACCGAGTTGCCGCAGACCCCCTCAACCCTCTCTACCCCCCTTCCTCCTCCTCCTCGTCCTCCTCCTCCTTCTCGCCCTCCTCCTCCTCCTGCTCGGGCTCTTCCTCCTCCTCCTCCTCCTCCTCCTCCTCCTCCTCCATCTTGGACTCCCCCCCCTTTTTCTCCCCCTCCCCCCCCCCGCCCTTTCCCCCTCTGTACCCGCCGCTGCCGCGAACCGCTTCGGCGCTCATCGCGCCCTCCTCTGACGCTGATCGGCTGCCTCTGTCCCCCCCGCTGCCGCTCGTCTGTTTCTCCGCGGTGTGCGGGGGGGGGGCCTTTGAAACCCGCGTCGCCCCAGGGTGCTGTCACTCCTCGTCCTCTTTCCCCCCCTCCCCTCCCCTCATCCCCCCCCTCCTCTCCTCTTCCTCCCCCCCTCCCTTCCCCTCCTCCCCCCCCCCCTCCTCTCCCGCCTCCCCCCCCTCCCCTCCCCTCCTTCCCCCCCCCCTCTCCCACCCCCCTCTGGCCTCCTCCCTCCTTCCCTGCGGGCCCGAGGTGCTGCGTGGCGGGCGTGGCCGAGCAGGACCCCGCCGGCCCCTCTCCTTTCTCCTGTCAAGAAGCACCGTTTGCGGGACGAGGGCTCACCACAGACCCCCGTCGTCGCGATGTTGTTCACAACATCGACCCTCAGAGGTCTGGCCCCTTCTTCGGGAGCAGTTCTTCATCCCGAGTCGCTTTCTGACGGTCCCGAGGTCAGGGAAGGGCACCTGGAGGCCGAACGTAGCGCAAAACCTCCCGTCTCGATGTTTGTTCACAACGCGAGGGGGTCTAGGACAACCCCAGCCGCGGTCGGGAATGCCTTGGAACGCGCTCCGCCGCGGAGAGGTCGGGGAGCGTGGCTTTATCTGGGAATTCTTTCGGACCGTGCAACAAAAAATCCAGGCGGGCGGCTTTTCGCCAGTTTTGGGCCTCCGTGGGCCCTTGACCTGTTGTCGGGAACGTGGAAAACGATTCGGGATGAAAGAACGGCCTTGGAGTCAGGGGAGGTAGCGGTACCCTACCTTTCCCTCAGTTTCCATTTTTTCGGCCTCCTGGGAAGCCCTCGTCGCCACCGCTGGATTTGCCTTGAAATCCTGCGCAGACCGCACCAAGGGAGAAGTCAGGGGAGTAGCGGTATCCGTACCTTTTTGGTCTCCCCGTGGGGAATGGATGCATCGGCCACGCGCAGAAGGGGGGGCAGGGGGAGGGGGGACGTCTTCTTATGGGCATCCCTGCTTCTAAGAAGGCGCGGGACCCCTCTACAGATCTGTAACGCCCGTCGTTGAAAGTAGCTCTGTTGGGATTCCCAGATCCCAATCTACTGTCCTCGATGTTCTCTTTCACGCATGGTTATTTGGGGATGTTTTCTGGGGGCGGGCGCAAACCGAATCTATTATTGGGATTGGTTGTTACTTCCTTGAATGACGTTGGTTGTGTCTGGTGGTGTTCGTTCGTCCGTCGGTTGTATTTGTTTGTGTGGCATGTTTCGGTTGTTTTGGTTTTGGTTCGCTTTTCCGTCGGTTGCCCCAGGCTCGTCGGCCGCCCCTCGGTCGCTCGGCCCCTCGGCGGGCCCGTTCCCTGGCTTGTTTGGTTGTTTTTGCGTGTTTTCGCTTGTCCATCGGTTGCACTGGTTGCCGCAGGTACGTCGGTCGCCCCTCGGTCGCTCGGTCCCTCGGATGGCCCGTTCCCAGGCTTGTTTTGGTTGGTTTTGCTTGGTTTCGCTTGTCCATCGGTTGCACTGGTCGCCCCAGGTTCGTCGGCCGCCCCTCCGTCGCTCGGCCCCATCGGATGGCTGGTTTTGGTTGGTTTGGCTTGTTTTCGCTTGTCCATCGGTTGCACTGGTCGCCCCAGGCTCGTCGGCCGCTCCTCGGTCGCTCGGCACCTCGGATGGCCCGTTCCCAGGCTTGTTTTAGTTGGTTTGGCTTGTGTTCGCTTGCTGATCGGTTGCACTGGTCGCCCCAGGCTCGTCGGCCGCCCCTCGGTCGCTCGGCCCCATCGGATGGTCCGTTCCCAGGCTGGTTTTGGTTGTTGTGGCTTGTTTTCGCTTGTCCATCGGTTGCACCAGTCGCCCCAGTCTCGTCGGCCGCCCCTCGGTCGCTCGGCCCCAACGGACGTCCCGTTCCCTGGCTGGTGTGGGTTATGCTGGCTTGTTTTCGCTTGTCCATCGGTTGCGCTGGTTGCGCCAGGCTCGTCGGCCGCCCCTCGGTCGCTCGGCCCCATCGGATGGCCCGTTCCCTGGCTGGTTTTGGATTTTTTTGGCTTGTTTTCGCTTGTCCATCGGTTGCGCTGGTCGCCCCAGGCTCGTCGGCAGCCCCTCGGTCGCTCGGCCCTATCGGATGGCCCGTTCCCTGGCTGGTTTTGATTGTTTGGTGTGTTTTCGCTTGCTGATCGGTTGCACTGGTCGCCCCAGGCTCGTCGGCCGCCCCTCGGTCGCTCGGCCCCACGAGATGGCCCATTCCCAGGCTGGTTTTGGGTGGTTTGGCTTGTTTTCGCTTGTCCATCGGTTGCACCGGTCGCTCCAGGCTCGTCGGCCGCTCTTCGGTCGCGCAGCCCCATCAAAAAGCCCGTTCCCAGGCTGGTTCTGGTTGTGTTGGCTTGTTGTCGCTTGCTGATCTGTTGCACCGGTCGCTCCAGGCTCGTCGGCCGCCCCTCGGTCGCTCGGCCCCATCGGATGGTCCGTTCCCAGGCTGGTTTTGGTTGTGTTGGCGTGTTGTCGCTTGTTCATCGGTTGCGCCGGTCGCTCCAGGCACGTCGGCCGCCCCTCGGTTGCTCGGCCCCATCAGATGGCCCGCTCCCTGGCTGGTTTGTGGTTGTTGTGGGTTGTTTTCGCTTGTCCATCGGTTGCACCAGTCGCCCCAGGCTCGTCGGCCGCCCCTCGGTTGCTCGGCCCCATCGGATGGCCCGTTCCCAGGCTGTTTTTTGCTTGTCCATCGGTTGCACTGGTCGCCCCAGGCTCGTCGGCCGCCCCTCGGGCGCTTGGCCCAATCGGATGGCCCGTTCGGTTGTTTCGGTTGTTTAGTTTGTTTTCGCTTGTCCATCGGTTGCACTGGTCGCCCCAGGCTCGTCGGCCCCCCCTCGGTCGTTCGGTTCCATCGGATGGCTTGTTCCCAGGCTGTTTTTGGTTGTTTTGGTGTGTTTTCGGGGCGGCCGCTGTACCTGGGCCGACGAGCCTGGGGCGACCTGGGAACGAGCCGGATGGCACGTCGGCCGCGTCTGGGAACGGGCCATCTGGCTCGTTCCCAGGTCTCGGCCCAGGCACGTCGGCCGCCCCAGAAACAAACCAAAACAACCCAAACCCAGCCTGGGAACGGGCCATCCGATGGGGCCGAGCGACCGAGGGGCTGCCGACGAGCTTGGGGCGACCAGTGCAACCGATGGACAAGCGAAAACAAGCCAAAACAACCGAAACAAACCTGGGAACGGCCGACCGAGGTGCCGAGCGACCGAGGGGCGGCCGACGAGCCTGGGGCGACCAGCGCAACCGATGGACAAGCGAAAACAAGCCAAAACAACCAAAACCAGCCAGGGAACGGGCCATCCGATGGGCCGAGCGACCGAGGGGCGGCCGACGACCTTGGGACGACCAGCGCAGCCGATGGACAAGCCAAAACAACCAAAACCATACAGGAAAGCCGAGCGGCCCATGCTGTTGCGCGCCGCTGAGAGGGGGGGGAACATGTTTTATGTACTTATTATCATGTTCGTTGCTGCTGTTTTACCCGGCGGCCCCGAACACAATCTATTTCTGCCCTCCTGCTTCATGTTCGACCTACTTCTTCCGACGGGCGTGAGGCTGGCGCCTTCTAAAGGCAGCCTCCCTGCAAGAAGCCTCCTCTCCCCCCTCCCAGCCCCATTGTGCGCGCTGCCAAAGAGAATGGGCCGAACACGGGGAGAGGGGGAGGGTGTCGGGGGTTGACGACAGGGGAGGAGGACGAGTGGGGGCAGCCGTGCGATCCTGGCGCTGCATTTTTTCTAAACGGGAGTTTTGGTCATGTTTCGGGTCCCGAGACCCTCGCTGATCGATCTGGCTCCAGAGATGGGGTCCAGGGTTCTGGTCGCTTGCGCGTGGCATGGTGCAAGTTTTTTGTATACGTCAGTTCTCAGGGAGGACGGGGAGAGGAGGGGGATGGAGGATGACGAGAAGCGGTGCGCCGGGAAGTGCGTGCTTGCTCTACGTAGCCCTAAGGGTGCGCTCCGATGAACGGTGCGCGCGCGGGTATGGGGGGGAGGTGAGTTTCGTTTGGCCTGTTCGTGAAGGAAGGGTCAAGCCCTTTCTGCTGGGTGAGCGCCGAGCCCATTGGGGCTCGACGGTCGAAGCGGCCCCTGCCGCGGCCTCGTCCTCACCGGGCGCCCGAAGCCAAGGAGACGGATATTCAAGAGCAGGAACAAGCGGGGCTCCAGAGGACACACCGGAAAAGGAGATCGTAGAGGTACGCAAGACACACATGAACGACAAAGGACTACGGGTTCGTCTTCACCGGCATTTGCGCGTCAGCTGCTCGCATAAGGCCGCGCGCAAGCGCCCTCGTCTTCAATGTAGCGTGCCGCGCTGGTGGCCCGCGTAAGCCGTCGCGTAAGGTCGCCATGCCATCTTGCTTAAGGCCCGTGTTTTGTCGTCGCCCACATGCGGCCCCAGAGGGCATCAACAACACGAACGGCCTGCCCACATTCGTCGCAAAACACACGTGAGGCTCCAGATGTCACCAATTGACGCTCACGCGTGCAAGACACACGGGGGGGAGGGGTATAGGAGGGGTTCAGGAAGGCAGGCCTCGCCCAGGGAACCCTGGCTGGGATGTGCTGCGCCGCCGTAGGGGCGGTGGTCGGGTGCGGTTTGGGCCGTGGCTTCGCGGTGGGGCCGGGGCTTCGCGGTGTCGCTGGAGGAGACCGGCGCCCCTTCCTCTCTCCCTCTTTGCTCTGCTCCCGGACATGCCCGCGTTGTGAAAAAAAAGGCGGGAGAGTTTTTGCCCCTCTTCGGCCTCCAGGGGTACTCGCTGGGCCTCGAGGGCGTCCACAAAACGAGTCGGGATGCAAAACGGCCCTGGGGCAAAAGGGCCGGGATTGCCGGGGACCGCGTTTTGAACAAAGCAGGACTGATGGGCCCGTTTCCGACCACCACCATCATAAGTTGGAGGGGGGTCAGAGGTGGAGGATGAGGAGGAGGACGAGAAGGAGGAGAAGGAAGAGGTGGAGGACCCCCTCCCCCTCCTACTTGTCGTGGTGGCCGTGGAAAACAAGCCCACCATGGGCACCGCACGTCGATGCTTGCTTCTCTGTGCTTCCCTCTCTCGAGAGTCCCGTCGGCGCGGCGGTCCCGAACCCCAGGTCCTGTAAGTCGAGCATGTCCCTCTGCGAAAGGAATGTTCAAAAATAGTAAAAAATAGTCTGGGACGATCTTCCCACTATTTTTGATCGCTTTGGGGGGGAATCTCCGCCTGTAGGGGGACACGCCCGACCTAACCCCAGGGGGCCGTTTGGGGGGGGGGCGGGCGTTTCGCCCCCTCCGACTCTTCAGAGGTGGTCGGGGGCGGGCCGGACCACAGAGCCGCGTCTCAGAGGGAGGCGGATGGAGGGAGGAGCGGATGTAAAGGGACGGGGAGGCGAGGGGAGGGCGGGGAGGGCGGGGGAGGGCACGTGGCGCAGCGCCGAGGGGGGGGAGGGGGGGGCGGAACGGGGAGGAAGAGGGGAGGGAAGAAGGGAGGGAAGAAGGGGGAGGAGAAGGGAGGGTCTTCGGCGCAAGGACGGGTGGAGCGGGCGGCCAGGACAAGGAGGAAGGGAGCGGAGCTGCGGCAGAGGAAAAGGAGCAGTCGCCACAGGGGCAAGGGTGTTCAGGGTCTGGCGGCTGAGAAACAGGGGGTGCTGGCCAGGAGGGGAGCAGCTTCCCCAGGAGTGAGAGTGTCCAGGGGACGACAGCCGAAGGAAGGGAACAGCCGCTGGGCGAACCGAGGCTGGCCTTGTAACCCCTGAAGGCCCGGGGCGCCGACATCCATATGCTGCGGGCTCGGTGCTTGATCGAGCCCGTCTGCCACCCACCCTTCCGATGCTCGGTGCCATCGTGCCTTCGACGGCACTGCTGCAGGCTTGCTCGCTCGCCCCCCCATGCCGGTCCGCTCCCCCCCCCCGTCCTCCGCTCGGCTGCGCACTGGCCTTCCCAGAGTTCTACCAGTTTGAAGCCTCTGCGGGCGAGGCAACCCAGAGGCTGGGCGCTGATCTGATATGGTCAGAATCACCACCAGTAACAGTATCATCGTCATCGTCGTGTCGTCATCATCATCAGCACCATCATCAATAGCATCATCAGCAGCAGCATCATCATCACCATCATCATCATACTAGTGCGCGCACGTCTTGCGTCAGCCTGTGTCTCTGCAGCGTGTGTTGCTCAAAGGGGGGCTCACTGGAGACACTTGCAGGTAGAGCCTCTGCTGCGGACACACTCACACGTAGTCTCAGTCGGGATTGGACCACTTCTCTTCGAGATCAGAGGAGGAGGAAGCGTGATCGCCGTGTGCTGCTATTGCGTCGACTCAGGCGAAGCAAGTGGAGAGTGTCCCATCTCGTGCGCGTGGTCTCCCAACAGCTGGCGGGCCCGACGAGCGGCATGGCGTGCTACGAGTTCAGCTTCGTGCTGCACGCTGGCTTCATCGCATCGGCCTTCGCGGTGGGAGCTCACCGTGGTCGTGGCTGCTCGGTCGGAGTTCCAGGCGGGTGGTCATCCAGACCATGCTGGCCGGAACCGGGGGGCTGGCGGCGGTGTCATCGTCGTTGGCCCGGGGGCGAGAGGTGCTGGTGCATCATGATGATGGCCTCTGGCACGTTCGCACCATGCTCGCGCATGCCGAGAGTACAAGGTGGATCATATATACACCCGGCCAGGACCTGTATGAAGAGGATTACGGCCCCAGCAATGGCGACATCACGGGTGTGCTGGCTCTCAAGGCAGACGGCAGCATTCCACCGAGCCAGCAGGGTGCCCACATTTACAATTTCAGAGTTGGTGCTGGACCTGAGCAGGCCGCGCTGCGCAGGCTGCTAGCCGAGGCGCATGGTCTGGTGACACTGGCTGGCCGTGGAGTGGCTCCGCCAGGGGCTGAAGCTGAGGTCTGGCAGCTCGCGGAATCGGGCGCCGTCGTCTCGGTCGATGACGCGGGCCCAGAACGGCTGGAGATGTTTGCCGAGAAGCGCGGCCTCGCTTGCGCTGGGCGGCACGTGCTCTTGATAGTGAAGGTGGCGAGGAATCAGGTCGAGCAGTGGACGACGGATGTGGATCAGCTCGACCTGTCAGACTTGGTGGTGATTAGGGAGATCGCACGCCAGCTCCTGATTATAGAGTACCAGTACGCAGAGAAGGTTCGAGGAGGAGAGCACGGCAGATCTGCTGGCGCCTCTTCCTCCGTCGCTGGGTTGGCCAGCATCACGAATGACGAGAGGGACCTGATCGGGCGGCAGCCCGTCAATCCCACGGTGTGCTGGGCCCTGATGCTCATCGGACACGTGGGTGAGGAGTTACAGAAGAAGTCGCAGTCCCAGAAGCATGCCAGGCAAGCTCGAGAAGAAAGAGCCCTCCTTCGTCAGCCCCCAGACGGAGTTGGTCGTGTCCGTGGGGGCAACGAGCAATGAGCACACGCGGGGCCGTCGGAGACGGCCTCATCCGGCGGCCAGCGCTGCGTGCAGGCCATCCATCGCTCATGAGAGCGAGGAATTCGGGTGCAACGCCGAGTCGGCTGTCTTCGTCGGCGGAGCCTCGGACACTTTTAAAGCATCGGGTAAAAGCATCGAGGTCAGAATCCTCGATCTGCGCGACTAGGCGGCCGCCTGGGCTGAGCAATCTTCCAATCTCGTCCGAGCAATGGTTGAATCGGCTTAGTCACGACGCCGCCTCCGTCCTTACAGAAATGTACCTGGGTGGTGCCCCGTGCTGTCCTGCGGGTGCTGCTTCGTCGCTGGGCGGGGGCAGCATGGGGCATCTCCGGGAACGTTGCAGTAGGATGGGCCCCCCCCCCGCCGATGCTCAGCCGGCCGAGGCTTTTTCGAGCATCAGCGGTGGGTGTGACTACTCTGGGGAAAGTTCGCCAGCAGTTCCCCTGGACGAGTCTCTGCTGTCGCTTAGGCCGGCAGGGACGGCCCCAACTGATATATGTCAGCTTTTGGGCCCCGAAGGTCGTGAGGAAGTCCAGGCGTGGATGTGCGAGCGTGTGCTGCCAAACTCGGTAGGCATGCGCAGTTTCGAAGCGAGCAAGATGAGGATTTATCATGACCCTGGTCTTCGCAGGTCTGCACGCCGATATGCACGCGTGCTTCAGATGCTGCATGTCAGGAACATGATTGAGTTTGTGTGCGAGGAAGGTGATGCTTGCGTAGGACTTTTTACTGTGCGCAAGAAGAGCGGTGCCCAGCGCCTGATTGCCGATTGCCGGCAGTGCAATTGCTTTTTCACGAGTAGTGACCATGTCGAGCTGCCCACGTCGGGCGCTTTATCCAGATTGAGGCTCGAGGCCGGAGAGCAGCTGTATGTAGGTCAGTACGATTTAAGAGATGCGTTCTTTCAGTTTGGAACACCCCCCGAGCTGCGGAGATTTTTCCATCTGCCCCCCATCAAGGCTAAGTGGATGAAGCAGCTGCTGTCCGACATTCCGAGCACTGGAGGGATTGTGCGACCTCGACTTACTGTCATGCCGATGGGTTGGGTCCACGCGCTGCACTGGTGCCAGACAATTCACGAGAGGATTTTGAGCCAGGCGTTTGCAAGCTCGCATCTTCTACAGGATCATCGGCCAGTTGGTGATCTGAAAAAATGGGTGTGTGTCGGTCTATGTGGACAGCGTGGGCGTCTTCTCGAGCTCCCCCGATGTTTGTCGTGATCTCACTCAGCGATCCCTGGAGGCTGTTCGGAGTGCCGGTCTGGAGGCTGGAGGCTGTTCGGAGTGCCGATGTAGTCGGAGTCGGGGGAGATCTACTGGGGCTCAGCGTCTCGGGAGATGGTCGAATTTTACCACGACATGAAAGGAGATGGAGGGTGTGGATGGCTTTGGAGTTCCTCTTGGGGCGCCGTCGATGTTCTGGTAGGACGCTTCGGAAACTCTTGGGACATATCACTCATCAGGCAATGCTTCGTCGGGAGCTGCTGTCATGCTTTCGTGCCGTGTATGTATTCATAGAGAAGAACCCCGATAGCCCCTCGAAGCTGTGGCCCGCGGTACTGAGGGAACTCCGCTGGGCTCAGGCGTTGCTTCCACTGCTCGAGTGCGACCTTACCGAGCCGTGGGGGCCGAGGGCCTATACGTGTGATGCGTCGCCGTGGGGTCTTGGGATATGCGCGGCGCGGCCGCTTACTGAGGTGCTGGATGAGGCCAGCAGGTATTCAGATCGGTGGCACTTCTTGGGTGGAGGTCGTGCTAATCCACGGGCAGTACTGGAAGAAGGGGGTGATGATGATGCGGGGGCACCTGAAGGTTCCCTTCGTAGAGTGCCTCCTGTTCCAGGGCTTCACACTAGCTTGTTGCATGCTAAGTGGCACACGGTCAGTAGTAAGGCTTGGGGGCGTAGTGAGCACATCACCTGTCTCGAAGGTCGGGCCCTGGTGGGAGTCCTCCGGAGGGTCGCAAAGACTCGCGAGTACATCCAGAAGCGGGTCCTCATTCTCACGGACTCCATGGGTGCACTGCTCTCGGCTCAAAAGGGAAGGTCGAGTGCGCCAGGTCAGTGCCGCGTCGCCCGCCAGCTGGCCTCCCTCCTCCTGCTGTGGGACATCCAGCTCTGTCTGCGATGGGTGCCCAGCGAGAGGAACGTGGCTGACGAGCCGTCCCGCCGCGGGCTGCGGCATGCTGGTGCAACGAACGCGGAGGGCAAGTTCCGCCGTGGCTGGGGCAGCGCGCGGGGAGAGAGTGCTCTCTCGGAGTGGCGTCGCCGGGCGCTTCCTGAGCCGCCAGGCGCCAGCCTCGCCAGTGCTGCAGCCGGGCGCGACCCGCCCCCCCTCCTCAGCGGGAGGGTTGGCCTTGGTCGCGCCGGCCGCGGCGCCGGCCGAGGATCCTCGCCTGCCACGGCTGGCCTCGACCACAGCACCAGAGCATGGATGTCGGCGAGTTCGGCGACGGCAGGATGCTCACGGCGCGGTGCGAGCCTTGCAGGTTGGACGGTGCTGGAGACGATCGTGGTGCGAGCGCCGGCGAGGCGATCGCACCTCCGTCGGGTCGCGGGGCTGGCGCGGCGCTCGGAGATGGTGATCGCGCAGAACGTGACGGGCGCGGAGCTGGACCGGACGCCGAGTCGCATCAGCTTCCTCGGCCAGATGGGCGTGGTGGGCCTGAGCGCGGCGGAGGCGGAGCACCTCTACGAGGAACTCTTCGAGGGCACAGAGGAGAGCGAGGGCGGCCAGGCGCTGGCCGCGCTGTCCTGGGCCTTCGCCCCCGTGGGCGAGCAGGTGTGCAGCCTCCTTCGGGCACGGGCATGTTCCGTGGCGTTGCACCGACTTGCTCTAAGCAGGTCGAGATGGCCAGTTTCCGAGATCCTGATCTCTGCGGTGGCGAACAAGTTGATCGCGCAGGGGAGGTTGCAGCCAGGCGCGGCAGTCTTGGCGGCACACCTCCGTTACGTTCGCCCTGGCGAGTTTCTCCGCACCACGTGGGGGATGAACCAGCGGCTTCGACGGATCCACCCAGCGAGCGAGTGCCTGGCAGGGATCGGATTGTCTGCTCTCGGCGAGATCGTGGCGCAGATCAGCCGCGAGTTCGGCCTCGGGAAGGCGATCTTGTCATCGTCTCCGTCGATCAGGGCCAAGTGCCGACGCCCTGGCGGATCGCAAGACGATCGCGGAGATCGAGCATTGCGGCAGGTGGTCGTCAGACAGCAGTGTGAGGGGATATCGAGAAGGAGGGCGGACCAACGAGCTCCTAAATCAGTGTTCAGCCCAGATGAGAGAATTCGCCGCCATTTGTTTGGAGGTTGTGTCGAGGACCCTGCAGAGATCGGGCGCGCCGCTGCAGGTTCCAGCGGGCCTACGCGCACGTTGATTGTGCCCTTCTTTCTCGAGATCTTTGCTGGGGCGGCTCGCGTATCCCGGGAGATGGCTCGGCTCGGCTTCCTGGCGATCGCTATCGACATTCGTTTCGGCATGAGGCATGATATGTGTAAGAGATCCTTGGTGAGAGCTATTAGAGGCTGGATCATGTCAGGCTTCGTCATAGGCATTCATTTCGGTACGCCGTGTATCTCATGGTCTCGCGCTCGTACCAGGCCCAACGGGCCTCAGCCCTTAAGGAGCAGTGAACACATTCTTGGGCTGCCAGTCCTGCGAAACGAGGGGGAGCGCTGGAAGATAGATATGGGAAACACTACCATGAAAAACATTGTGAGCATCGCCTCAGTGGCGTCTCTGCACATGGTCCCGTTCTGTATCGAGAATCCCTACTTACCCTTTATTTGGGAGGCGCCTCCGATGCTGCATTTACGACGACGTCGCACTACACGGGAAATTCGAACAGATTTCTGTCAATGGGGAGTCCCTTGGATGAAGCCCACTAGGCTAGTGTGTAGCTATTTGCCTGTTGAATCCTTGGGCCGTAGGTGTAAACTCTGCAGGGGAAGGTGTTCCAGAACTAGCAATCCACATGTTTCTTTAACGGGCAAGAACAGCAATGGAATCTTTAAAACCCGAGCGGTCGCGGAAAATTCAAAGTGCTTTTCTCGTGCCCTTGCCAAAGCTTTCGCTAATGGTTTTAAGAGCCTGAAGGCCACCTCTTTCTCTGCAGCTTTGAAGTGAAGTGTATCCAGGGAGAAGTCCCACCACCACCCCTTCTCCTCCATGATAGAAAAGTTTGCACGTGTGGAGCGGAGCTGCGCTTCAGAATTCTGTGATGTTGTTGAGCAGCACCCGGAAAAAGGTGCTGGTGCACAGCGCTTGAGATCAGTACAACTGTCTGCGCTGCTCGAGAAGTAAAAAGGTCTGGCTGCCGCTGCTCGTGCTCCCTCGGGTCTCGGTGGCCCTCTCAAAGCAAGGAGGTGTCTCACACGCCCCGAAGGCAGATGCTACTAGTGCGCGCGCGTCTTGCGTCAGCCTGTGTCTCTGCAGCGTGTGTTGCTCCCGCCCGCCTCCCTTGTCTCATTTTTATTCCTTTACCTTGCGGAGCGGAGCTGCGCTTCAGAATTCTGTGATGTTGTTGAGCAGCACCCGGAAAAAGGTGCTGGTGCACAGCGCTTGAGATCAGTACAACTGTCTGCGCTGCTCGAGAAGTAAAAAGGTCTGGCTGCCGCTGCTCGTGCTCCCTCGGGTCTCGGTGGCCCTCTCAAAGCAGGCAGGTGTCTCACACGCCCCGAAGGCAGATGCTCATCAGCATCATCATCATCATCCTCATCATCAGCATCATCATCATTACCACTACCAGCACCATCACCAACATCAACACCATCATTACCACCGCCATCATCAGCAGCATCACCATCGTCATCATCAGCATCGTCATCACCAGCATCATCATCATCGTCAGCATCAGCATCATGATACGTATCATCACCATAGTCATCAGCATCACCAGCATCATCATACTTACCGTCATTATCAACATCAGCACCGTCACCAACCTCAGCATCATCGTTACCACCAACATCATTGACTACCAACAGCAGCATCATCACAATCTCACGCTGCGGGTGCGCAGAACGGGGCCATCTTCGCCGCAGGGTATCGTGGTCGTCTGGCGCGGCGCCGTCGCTCCCTGTGGCCTCGGGCGGTTTCGCTCTCGGGGGAAGAGAAACGCCCAGATGGCAGCGGATCGTATTGTCGGAAGTTTGGGGCCGTCGTCATCCCTGTCGCGGCCGCCCCCGCCGCCGCCCCCTTGCCCCTCTTGGCCCTAGACGCGGTGGCTGCCCACCGGCTCGGCCCCCGGCGACTGGGGCGAGGCCGGCTCCGCCGCGGCGCGCCGCGAGGGGGAGCGGGGATGGAGCCGGGAGGTGAGCTTCCTCCTCCTCCTCATCATCCTCGTCATCCTCCTCCTTCCCCTCCTCCTCCCCCTTCCCCTCCTCCTCCTTCCCTTTTTCCTCCTCCTGCTCCTCCTGCTCCTCCGCCTTCTTCCCCCTCCTCATCCTTCCCCATCCTCCTGCTCCCCCTTCTCCTACTCCCCCTAATCATCCTCCTTCTCCTCCTCCGCCTGTTTGACGTTGAGCGGAGCTGAAGAGCAAGCTTGTGGCGTCAGTGGACGAGTGCGAAACATGCAGTATGCCGGCTTAGGCAAAGAGCAAACTGATTGAGCTTGGCGGGCGCAGCCGAAAAAGGTACGGCAGCGAGACGCGGAAAGAGCACAGGGCCCGAAGGCCATAGAGGATGCGCTCGCCAGGCCGCACGGTGGAGCGGGGAAGGGTCGAACCAAGAACCTGAGCTCGATAGCCGAGTAAGGAGGATACCGACTGAGGGGAGGTCGGAAAAATAAACGCCTGCACTGCGAGTAAGAATGAAAGGACAGGCGACGCAAGGAATATAAACTGACGATCTCTAAGTGGGAGAGCGCGAGGCTAAACCTCACAGGCTTGGCCTCGACCTCCTGCAGGGTCGCACCTGTGTTCGCATCTTCCCCCACCTCCCCCGATAGTGTGCCTCCACCCGCCCGTCCGCTCACACACGTGGCCAGGGCCCTCACCGAGGGCAGTCATCAGTTTTTAACCCTCACCAAGGGCAGTTGGGAGTGAAACCGTCGCAGCAGAAACTTGCGAGATTGTCATCTTCAACAGCAATCCTCAAGATCATAATCTATGCTGCGATTGCCCTCACCGTGGGTGAAAGTAGCTGCGAACCACGTTCGAATTCCGGGTGCGATGCCGCCTCAATGACGAATGCCGTCTCTCCCCCTTTCCCAACCCTGTCCCGCCCCATTCACCACGAATCCCGCCCTCCCAAGATCAAGGCTGGCCAAGTCGGTCTGGCTGGTCTAGTTTGGCAATGCGTAACTCTGGCGGTCAGCACGCTCACAGCGGTCGACACGCACGTCCTCCTCCGCCACCACCACCGCATTTGCCCTCCTGCTCCATACCCACACCCCGCTACGTACCGGGTACCACGCATGGTGGCAGAAAGCAACGGCCTCTGCCGACTCCGGAGTCTGCCCTCGTGGCCACCTGCCTCAAGGGCCCACCACCACGGCCAGGGAAGTGGAGACGGAACGGGCCGCTGGACGCGTCGGGCGCTGCTGCGCTCGAGCATGCACCGCGACGTCAAGGTGATCGGTCCGCAGCAGAGGGTTCCGAGTGAATGCCTTCTGCTCCAGCGCTGCCTCTTTAGCTCCTCTCATTCACACCGCCACGTCCACGCCTCGGGCAGAGACTGTGGGCAGAAAGAACGTGCTTCCCACACAAGGAACACATTGAGAGATGCCGACTCCATGGTCGGTAACGCCGGCCACGTGCCTCAAGGGCCCACGTGGCAAGGAAGTTGGAAGCGGATCATACCTGAGAGCGGGTCTACAGTCAGCCGTTGTTCGTCTCGGGAGCCGTTGCGTTTGAACGAACTCCACAATGTCAAGGTGCTCGGTCCACAGCGGGTCACACAGGAAGCAAGTGACTGCCCGCAATGATTGCCATATTCTCCTCCTCTTAGTGTACCTCCACCTCCTTCCCCACATATCCATAAGCACGCCACCACGGCAGGGAATGTGGGCGCGGACCGAGGAGCGGCACTCAGCCGCTGTTCGTTTCGGGCGCCGCTGCGCTGGAGCGTGCAACACAGCATCAAAGCGTTCGGTCCACAACGGGTTGCAGAGGAAGCAACCAAGCGCTCGGAACGATGCCGTCTACTCCCCCTCCCCCACCCTCTCACCGTCCCGCTCCCGCCATAAGGGCTGGCACGGTGCACCCAGGAGAGCGAGGGGAAGGACGGGTGGGAATAAACAGGGAGGAAGGCAGAAGGGAAGGATAGAGGATACAGCTTCCAGTTCAAGTTTCAGCGGTGCGCCATTCGGAAACGCATACCATATCATTGTCTTACCGTCTGATGAAGGCCTGACACAACTTGTTGAAATGTTGCTCGTCAACGGCGATCGTTTGCATAAGTGCCTCAACGTCCCCATCCGCATCGGCACGTGCCCAGATGTTGTCAAATACCTTCTGTGTTGTAGTCATAATGAACGGCGGAACACAAGAAGGGAGACAACAACTCCGATGTGTTCAGGTTACTTGGTTCAAGGCTCAGCGTTTTTTCGGACAGTGTCCGTTTGGCAGAGACTATGGTCCAACGAGCCGTGGCCGGGTTCCATTCACCCAGCAAGTCTTCAGTGCTGTGGAGCGCTGTGTTTGCTAGTCGCACCAGTCGCACTCGTTGCCCAGGTGCCCAGGCTCAAAGTTGTCGGCTGAGGCGGTGCACTCTGCTCCTGGAGCCAGTGGTGATGCTGGAGTCGTTGGTGCTGCTTGGGTCGGCGGCGTTGCTGGGGTCGGTGTTTCTGGACCTGTTGGCGCTGTTGTCGGAGTCAGGGACGGTGGGGTGGGTGATGCTGCCGGGGTCGGTGGTGCTGCTGGACTTGGTGGTGTTGCTGGAGTCGGTAGTGCTTCTGCCAGAGTTGGTGTCGGCGGCGATGCTGCCAGAGTCGGCGGTGCTGCTTAACTCAGTGGTGCTTCTGGGGTCAGTGGTGCTACTTGGGCCAGTCGAACAGGAATCGGCGGCGTTGCTGCCAAAATCGTTGGTGTTGGAGTCGGTGTTGCCGCTGGGGTCGGCGGTGCTGCTGGAGTCAGCGGTGCTGCTGGGGTCGGCGACGCTGCTGCCGGAGTCGGTGGTGCTGCTGTTGAAGTCGGTGGCGCTGCTGGGATCGGCAGCGTCGCTGGAGTCGGCAGCGCTGGAGTCGGCGCCGCTGCTGCCACAGTCAATGGTGCTGCTGCAGTCGGTGGTTCTCATGGGCTCCGTGGTGCTGCTGGAGTCGGTGGTGCTGAAGTCGGTGGCGCTGATGCTGGAGTCGGCGGTGCTGCTGGAGTCGGTGGTGCTGCTGGGATCAGTGGTGCCGCTGGAGGCTGTAGCGCAATAGTCCGTAGCGCCGAAGCCGCAGTCCTTGACGTTGGTTTCGGTGGTGCTGCTAGGGTCGGTGGTGCTGCTAGAGACTGTTGCACTTGGAGTCGGTGGCGGTGCTGCTGGAGTCGGTGGCGCTGCTGCTGTTGGGGTCGGTAGCGTTTCTGCCTGCATCGGTAGTGCTGGTTGAGTCTGTAATGATGCCAGGCACAGTGGTGTTGCTAAAGTCGTCGGTGCTGCTGGAGCTGGCGTCGCTGATGCCGAAGTTGGCAGTGCTGCTGGAGTCGGTGGTGCTGCTGTGGTCGGTGGTGCTGCTGGGATCGGCGGTGCTTCTGCCAGTGCTTGAGTCTGTGGTGCGTCCATCGAATTTGCTGGGACCGGTGGTGCTGCTGAAGTCGGCGGTGCTACCACAGTCAGCGGCGCTACCTTGTACAAGTCGCTGTCGTGGCTGTCGTGGTTGTCGTGCCCTGCCTTGTTTGACGTTGCGCAGACCTAGATATGATGGTCGTGGCGTCTTAAATCCTCCTCCTCCTTCTCCTTTTCTTCCTCCTACTCTTCTCTCGGTCGTCACCAGTGCCGGTGCTCGGCACTTCTCGGCGCCCTGTCAGGCCATGGCCAGGAGAGGGTGGAAGATTCCGTGCCGTCCTCTCCCAGCCGGAAGCGGTCCTGCGGAAGCACAGCTTCCCTCGCTCGGCGCACGTTGTGTTGAGTCAAGCAGCTCCAATAGCTCCACAGGCCCCCTTCGCGTCTTGAGGAACTCGCAGCGGAAGGTTTTCACGCATGTTCGGCCTCGGGGAGTCCTCACTGGGCCTTGGGACCGCCAGAAGTCGCAGACGTGGGAACGAGGCGTCACAATCCAGTGACCACTTGTGGGGTGTGACCGTGTTGTCCATCTAACATTGTTGCAAGGTTTGTACCTGACTGATTTTCTGCGTTCTCATGGGCGGCAGCTCCGGGATGTAACACGATGTCATAGGCTCGAGAGTCCATACATGCAAGCCAGTCACAATTAACCATTATTAGTCAGCATTATCTTATGTTTTCTTCCCGGTTGTTCTGGTTAGGCTTGGTACCTCGTATGTGCTGGTCAGTTTGCGCGCGCTCAAAAGCACCGCCAAGGATGGGAAAACGGCCCCAGGGAAGGGGCCGATACCTTCGGGGCGCCCATGCTTCGAAACCAAAGCACACACACGAGGTCCTGGCCCGCCCCCACTCGAATTCCTCGCAGAGGCTTCTTGGGGCCTCTTGTGGGCGCCTCGGGGGCATTTGGCGGGATCTTGGGGTCATCTTGGGCCGCAGGGTTCGAGATTCTTGACGTTCGCAGCCTTCGCAGCCTTGGCCGCCCTCCGGGCCCACCCCCCGCCCGGCTTGGTATTCGACGTTGTTCGGCGGTGCAGCACAGCTGGCGCGCACACGCCGTTGGCGCGGCTTGGGCTTGGCGCCCCACCGGCGACGGCCCATCGCTTACCACGTTTGGCCGCCACAGCGCGTAACACAGAATTCCCTGGCATTTTGCCGCTGGGCTGCACGTTGCTCGAGCTTCCCTGGGCGTTCCAGTTCAGCCAGCCAGCCCCCCGCAGCCGCTGCCCCAGCTGCCGCGTTTGTGAGCTGGCCTGGCCGGCTCGTGCTGCGCGCAGTAGCTAATTATGTTTGCCCGCCGGCCCGGACATTTCTTCTCGCCGCTTGCGCGCTCGTTGGTGGCTGCGACCAAAATATATCCCCACCAGTGACTTAATTCACCCGCACGTTTGCATCTGCTTCCCTGGCCGTTTGCAGTCAGCTCAGCCAGCTCAGCCTCAGCCAGCTGCCCCACCAGCGGTAGGTTCAGATTTCGGGCTCGGTCGCTGTGCTTCTCGGCCTGCGCGTTGCCAATTAGGTCGGTCCGTGGCCCGGACCTTTCGACTCGGCGCCTGCGCGTGCGCTCGCGCCCGCGATGAAAAAGGACTTCGCTGGCGCCACCTCTTGCACCCGTCTGGCCCTGGGTCACGGCTTTATTCCCCGAGCCCCCCACGGTCGCTTTCGTGGTGCCCCCGCGCCATTTTGGCCGCGCTGCAGCTTGACTGCTCTTCGCACTTGTGCGTGCTGCTGCTGTTGGACCTCCTGGCCGCGGCCATCCTGGTACCTCGCAGCTTGTCGATGCTCACGCCCATTCTGGGCACCCAAGTCGACCTCCGACTGTCGGTTCACTTGGCTGCGGCCACCCTGGTACCTTCGCAGTAGTCCGGGGGCTTGCGCCCTTGCAACTAATTCTCGTTTGCAGCTATCCCTGGCTGTGGGTTACCAGGACCGCCGGCTGCATCCGACGCGTTTACCGCGTGCACCCTGGCAGTACTGGTATCCAGCCGACCGCCAGCCTTTCCACTCGCCGCCGCCGAGGTGCTGCGTGAGGCTCCCGCCCACCGCTTCAGGTTAATTCGTATTTGCGCGCCCCGCTTTGACTGGACTCGCCGCTGGCGCGCTCGCCTGCGGCCGCCCATCCAGAAACGATCAGCAGGGGAGTCGGTGAATCAGGGGCGGCAGGACGCATGCAGTTGCACAGCCGTTTTCGGTAAAACAAGGATCACAAAGAGCTTCCCGCGTTGAAGCTTAAAATGAAAATCCGTGCAAGCTGCGATGGTGTTTCGATGAGGGGTGAGGGGTGTTTCGATGACTCATAATGGCTGTTGCACTGATTTGTATCTTAAATTCGCGTGCGTTTCGAAACTTGGAGCAATCTTGGGGCTCTTTTGGGGTTCTCTGGGCGCTCCTGGAGCTCTTTCTTGGGATTCTCTAGAGGTCACGTTAGGGCCTTATTGGAGTCCTCTTGGGGCTCTTTTGGAATGCTTTGGGGCCCTCTTGGGGCTCTCTTGGGGTGTCTGGGGGCCTTGTTTGGGCTCTTCTGGGGTGCCTGAGGGGCCTCTTGGGGCCGTTTTGGATCCTTTCGCTCAAAAAGATGGGGTGTTTCAATTTGGATCGCCCCCTCGGGGGCTCAAAAATGTAGTCTTGGGCCGCTTTTGGGCCGCTTTTGGGGCGCTTCTGGGCGCTCTTGGGGCCGTCTTGGCGCCCTCTTGGGCCCCTCTTGGGGCTATCTTGGGCCGTCTTGGGGCCATCTTGAGGCTTCAAGAGCCCGTCGGAGGCGAAAGTGCGAGAAGGCAAAGCACATTGATTCCCCTTAGGTGTTTGAAGGATGTTGGCCTCTTTGGGGGTCTTCGGAGGGTTCGGAGGGCACTTGAAAAAGTCTTGGGGCCGTCTTGAGGCCTCTTGGATGCGCGTCGGAGGCTATCTTGAGCCATCTACCGTTATCTTGGGCCATCTTGGAGGCCATCTCGCACTCCCTGAAGCCCTCTTGGAGCCATCTTGGGCCGAAAAGGGCCCTCTGCCACATCGCGGGGAAGCCCGTCCGGACGCAGGCAGGGGGTGGGGAGGTAAACCTCCCGAACATGGAAAGGAAGGAGGTTGGAAAAGGAAACGCCCTAGACCACCTGCGCCCAGAGGGCTGGTGGGATTTCACATTTGCCGTCCCCCTCTTGGACCCCTCTGGAGGCACTCTTGGGGCCCTCGTGGACCTTCTTGTTGGGTCTTTTGGGCAGTTTTGGGGCCTCTTGGGCCGTCTTGAGGGCTTCACAGGGGCGTATTGGGCCATCTTCGGGCGATCTTGGGCGCCTCCATGGCCTTGACCCGCGCAAACACTCAAAGGGAATCCGTGGTCCTTACATATTGGGACTCTCTTCGGAGTCCTCTTGGAGCACTCGTCGTGCGTCTTGGGGGCCGCTTCGACCGTCTTGGTTGCATCTTGGGCGCTTTCGAGCGATCTTGGGCCATCCAGGAGCCCCCTTGGACTGGCCAGGGAACATCCTTGGCACCCTCTTGGGCCCTCGCGGCCTCTGGAAAATACTCGCGCGAATGACCCCGAAAGGCCCGTGAGCAGGCCCCAGGGGGGGGGCCTTTCGCTTATGGGCCACTCAGGAATATCCATATCCACCGCCCGCCGGGGCACCAGGACGTCGGTTCCCAGGCGGCGGATCTGGATAAATCCCCGCCTCGCAATGGGGGCCTCCTGGGCAGGCTTGCTGAGGGCCTCCGGCGCCGTCCTGGGAGCCTTTTTGGGGGCCACTGTGGGGCGATCGTGCCGTGCTCTGTCGGTTGTGTGGGGAACACTGGCGCGAGGGAGGCCCGAAAAGGCGAGCACTCTGCTGCACCAGTCAAGCAGTGGCGAAGCGTCCTGGCTCGCCTATAGTCGAGGGATGCAAAAAACGCCCCTACCCTGGGTTACAAGTGCGTGGTCTGTAAACCTCCCGGGAGCTCCCAAAGGCCAGAGAGCCGCCAGGATGACGCGCGACACGCGCGATGTGCAGGGTTTACCTTGTCAGCTTACAGGAGGTCCAGCGCACAGCGCCTCGTAAACCAGGGTAGGGGCGTTTTTTTCATGTCCTTGATATAGGCCTTCCAAAGAAAGTTTCGTGGTCTGCACGAAATGTTCTTAGAACGTGTCTGGCTGGGCCTGTCCTGTTCTAGCGCATCGAGTACGAACATGGTCGCTGTTATTCGAACACTTTTGGGTTCTAAGGACATTTCGTGGTAGCCCTATAGGAATGCCGGGACGGTCGGTCCCCGCTCAAACCAGAACAAACCCAATCAGTAGATTTTTGAACGTACCGCAGGTGTCTGAATCGGCCTTCCTCCAGCCCTGGTCCAATTCGAATTTGCATTCTAGCCCAGTCCAGCTATTAAATGTTATTGTTTTTTGTCCTTCCTTCTCTCTCTTTCTTCTCTCTTCCAAACATCTCTCCATATATGTATCACTCCATCTACCTTCCTGTGCACATCCACACATGTGGGAGATCCCGGCCGCGGGGCCCCAGGCCGGGCCCCCCGCTGGCACACTCTTGTCCCCCCCCCCGCGGGCGCTTCTACCGGAGGCCCCCTGCGGCTACCGCACACAGCCCCGAGCGCTTTCCCCTGTGCGCCCAATGGCCTCCAGACCGTGCAGGAGGCCTCCAGGACGCCCCGGCAGAGGCCCCAAGAGCGCCCCGAGACGCCCCAAGATGGCCTTGATTGGGCAGTGGCGAGGCGCCCCGGCTTGCCTATTAGGCCCACCAAAGAATGTTCTACGAACTGCTCGTGGTCCGCACGAAATGTTCGTAGAACAATTCTGGCTGCGACTGTCTCGGACTAACACATCGGGCCTACGCTCTAAGAACATTGCTCTTGTTCTCAGAACATGTTTAGGTTCCAAGAACATGTCGTGGTAGGCCTATAGGAATGCCGGGACGGTCGGTCCCTGCTCAATTCAAGAAGATCCAAGAGGCCTTCCAAGAGGGCCCCGGGAGGCCAACATCGCCGCACCCCTGCGGAACACGCAGTGTTGCCCACATGTTGAGTGGATGTTATTGCTTCCTCGGGACACCCCGCGCAGGACCAAGAGCCCACCACATCATCAGGTTACGAATCATTAACCCGAGCGGGTCATCGAAATCTTGTAATTGTCGTCGCTCTTGGCCTCATCAAGCAAGAATATGGAGGAAGTCTCAGGCCAGAGCCTCCTCTGTGAGTGACTTGCGAGGCATTATCAGGTGGAAGCACCCCCCTCTGTGGGGCCCGCAGCTCATGTTACTAATCCGAGCGGTTCATCGGCATCGTCGACCACGCATTTCACTTGAGTACCCCAAGTGAACATATCGTGTGGATGTCTCGAGCGGGGTCCTCGTTTGTGAGTGAATTGCGAGGACGTCCCAGGCGGGAGCCACCTCCCTATTTGGCCCGCCCTTCCCGTTGGTAACCCGAGCGGATCATCGGAAACATCTACCAGCCATCGGAGAACGCGCACCTTCTGCGAGGGTGCCGAAGAACATCGACATGCGTACCCCGGCCAGAAGGAAGGAGAGGCGCATGAGGATAGTTGGCGGGATGGACATGAGGAAATGGAGAAAGAGTAAGTGGTGGAGGCCGAGGAGGACGAGGAGGTGGAGGAGGAGGAGGAGGAGGAGGAGGAAAAGGACGAAGACGAGGAGGAGAGGACATGGAACGAAGAGGACGAAAAAGAGGGGACAGAGGACGAGGAGGAGGAGGAGGAGGAGGACGAGGAGGTTGAGGCGCAACAGAGGGCGGGTGGGGGGCCTCCGCCAGGGCGAGGAGGAAAAAGCGAGGGGCAAGCTAAATGGATTCTCATGCGGGGCCCTCCCGTCGGAGTAATTTATCCGACTCGCTGTTTCCCATTTAAACGGGGTCCAAGACTGCCCAAGAGGCCTCCGCGAACGCCTGGGCCCATTCCTCTCGCCGCCTTGGCGGGAGCAGGACGGTTCCGCCAGCTTCGCCTGCCCTCTCCCCCTCCTCTCTTCCCTTCATGCTTCTCCTCCCTCCTCCCTCCTCCTCCTCCGTGTCCTCCTCCTCCTCCTCCTCTTCCTCCTCTTCCTCCTCCTCCTCCTCCTCCTCCTCCTCCTCCTCCTCCTCCTCCCCCCCTAGCATAACAGCGGTCACCTCCCTCCTTCCCCGCCTCGTCCTCGTCGTCGTTTTTCTCCCTCTGCTTCGGCTGCAACGTCGCCCACTCCGACGCCGACACCGACATCGCCAACACCGACCCTGATGCGAGCGCTGACGGCGACGACGCCGAGGCCGACAACGCCGAAGACGACGACTGCCGCGGCGACGACAACGGTGGCGGCTCCGACGGCGACGGCCGCGACGGCGGCGGCGGCGCCCCGGAACACAAGTCCTGGGACTTCCCCCTGCACGCCCACGACCTCCGCGGCGACCTGCTCGTGGAGCTGCTCGGCGGCAGCAGCGAGGACGCCGAAGTGCTGCTCGGCCAGGCCGTCCGCCGAGCGGCCGAGCGACTGGCCGCCCTTCCGCCGCCGCCGTCGCAATCGCAGCGTCGGCCTCCAGAGCGTGCGCGTCGTTGCGCCAACCGCCCCGCGGCCAGACCCCCCCCCCGGGCCAGCTTCAACTGGGAGGGGGAGGAGGAGGAGGAGGAGGAGGAGGAGGAGGAGGAGGAGGAGGAGGAGGAGGAGGAGGAGGAGGAGGAGGAGGAGAAGTGAGGAGGAGGAGGAGGACGAGGAGGAGAAGGAGGAGGAGGGGGGGGCGGAGGAGGAGGAGATGGAGGGAGGGGGAGGGAGGAGGGGGAGGAGGAGGAGGAGGAGGAGGAGGAGGAGGGTGGGGAGGAGGAGGAGGAGGAGGAGGAGGAGGAGGAGGAGGAGGAGGAGGAGCTGAAGGGGGCGGAGGAGGAGGAGGAGGAGGAGGAGGAGGAGGCGTCTGGCTGCTGCCAGCCCCAGGGCTCGACCCCCGGGCGGCGTCGGCGGTCGCTGCTGCCGCCGCCGCTGGCAGCCGCGAAGCGAGGGCCCGGCACCCTGGGGCCTCCCCCCGACCCCGTCCGAGGTTTTGCCCAGGGCGCGCCGCCGTTGGCCCAGTTCCGGCGATCGCTGGACCGATACGACGCGGCCCTCCTCGCCGTCTGGAGGGGCGGGGCCGTGTGCACGCTGACCCGCAGGCACGGCGGCGTGTGCTTTTGCCCATTCGGCTGCGGGCACACCCAGGTTTCGGCTCGGCACTTTTGGGCCGAAGGCCCCACTGGCTGTGATCACATGCGTCTCCCCCCCGCCCAAGTCGACACACCTCTCTCGCGCTTCGTTGCCCCATACGGAACTCCACCGAAGGCCCCAGTGGCGACGTTCGCATGGCGGCCCCGCTCCTTTTCGGCACACCCTCACACATTACGTGGCCCATAACGAGCGCAAACGAAGGCCCCAATGGCTGCGCCCGCATACGTCCCCGCCCCTACGCGTTAACCTTTACCCGCTTCGTGGCCCCATGTGGAGATCTACAGAAGGCGATACACACAACGACGATACTAACAACTGCATATGGCTGGGCCATTCGCCAGGATCAAAGGGTTTGTGGGTTTTTAGCTTGTCAAGAGCCCGAAAAGTGCAGAACGCAAAACCAACAACAAAAAATGACTGGGGCGATTTGAAGAAGAGTCACGTTCCCCTGGGACGGGCTTTTCGTCCCGATGCGTTCTAGATTGTCCCGAGGAGCCCAGCAGGGGGACCCAGGGGCCGAAGGTATAGCGAAAACCTCCCGCCCCCATAATATTTTCACGATGAAGGGAGGTGGGGCGAGAGGGCGGGGAAGGGGGGTGGGATCGGGCGGCGCCAGGACAGAGATGGATCGTGCCAGAGCGTTCCCCAGAACGCCGTGGGCATGCCGCGGCGCCCGCCACGTCCTCCAGAGCTGCCGGGCCTCCAAGAGGTCCCCGAGCTGTCCTGGACCGACGTGGTCCCTGTCCTGACCTCGTCTTGGAGCGGCGGGGGCGCCGAGAATGCGGGGCCGAAGGAGCGGGTGGCCGCCGACAGGCGCGCGCGCCCATCAGCGTCGCGCTGATGGGCGGCGGGCGCGAGGTGAGGACCGTGGAGCAGCTGGACCGTCCCTCTCGCGGAGGGGGGTGGCGACGGCGAGGACGCAGAACGAAGGCGACGACGACAATGACGACGACGATGACAAGGCGTCGACGACGACAAAGCCGAGGACGGCGGCGAGGACGGCGACGACGACGACGACGAAGCACTTACTTTGAAGATGTGTGTGTGCGTGTGTGTGTGTGTGTGCGTGTGTGGTGTGCGTGTGTGTGTTTATGTGTGGGTGTTGTGCGCGTGTGTGTGAGTGTGTGGTTACTCGTCCTGCGTTGCCCACTCACTTGCAAAGTTAGGTGGGATTGACGCTGAGAGTGCTCCCGCCGTAGCTCTCGCTGTAGGAGAACGTGCGCGTGTGCGTGTGCGTGTGCGTGTGCGTGCGCGTGTGCGTGTGCGTGTGCGTCTGCGTGTGCGTGCGTGCGTGTGTGTTTTTGTGTGTATGAATGTGTGTGTGTGTGCGCGCGATTGTGTGTATGTGTGTGCGTGCATTTGTTTTGCGGAGGCTTGGCTCATTTTCCGACCTTCTGCGCCCTGTTGTTGCATGCAGGGCCGCGACGCCGAAAAGGTGTGCGTGCGTGCGTGTGCGTGTGGGTGCGTGTGCGTGTGCGTGTGCGTGTGCGTTTGCGTGTGCGTGTGCGTGTGCGTGTGCGTGCGCGTGTGCGTGTGCGTGTGCGTGTTCATGTGTGTGTGTGTGCGTGTATGTGTTTGTGTGTGTGAGTCTGTGTCTGTGTCTGTGTCCGTGTTTTTGTACAGTTTGCCTTCGTGAGCGTTTGATCGCAATTTGCGCTTCCATCTGAGGCGGCATTGGCGCCATGATTTGGGGCTTGGTTACGTTCCACGATCCATGGATATGGCGCCGACGCGCCAACTCCACGGGTCTTTGTCCATGTTAGCGCGTTCTTGAATGGGGGGGCGTCTTTCAGGGGCCCAGGAAATATGAAGGACATGTTTAAAAGGGGTCCCGCGAGTGGGGGTCCAGGCGTGATGGGCTGCACCATTACTTGTTGGCGTCGTTGCTGTCGTCGTTGTCCTCCACGTCGCCAGCGGAGGAGGGTAACTGGGACGAGGAGGGGTGCGAAATCGCCAGCTCGAGCCCAACGTGGTAGGGAGAGAGGGGTGGATCGAGGGAGGGACAGGAGGATAGCGACAGACAGGGCTGAGGGTGGCGGGGGGCTGGACCTCCTGTCCGCCGTGCTCCGCTGCTCCCATCCTGCCCCCGCTGTCCCACCTTTCTGTTCGTCCCCCTCCTCCACCTCCTCCTCCTCCTCCTCCTCATCATCATCATCATCCGTCTCGCCCTCGCGCCATATCAACCTCCCCATTCTCGCCATGGCAACCTCGTCGCCCATGGCCTCTTCCCTCCTCTCTGCAGCAGCATCTTCCGCCTGGCCATGTCGCGTGAGCCTGTGGTAGAGGCGCTCGCGGCGGCCGATCGGCCCAGCGACAGCCAGGCCGCCCCCCCTCATTCGATCCTCCTCCCCCTCCTCCTCCTCCTCCTCCTCCTCCTCCTCCTCCTCCTCCTCCTCCGTTGCCATTTTGGCTCAAGATCGGGACAGGCCCGTTTTGAGTGTGGCAGCCCTTCTTCCAGGGCCACCCAGCTGTCAAAGGCTGGCGGACACCCCCACCTCCAGTGCGTCTCATGGCTGACGCAGTCCCTGCCGCGCATGCGAGTACCCAGGAGCGCCAGATGCTCGCAGAGCTCGACGAGATGCCCACCTTCCCCGACGGCGAGCGCTCGGGCAAAGGCCAGGGCACGGGCCGCTTCACCCAGCGCAAGCGCCAGGCCCTCGCTTCGTCTTCTGTCGGTGCTCCTGTACCTTCTCCTCACGATGATGACGATGATGATGGTGACTTTCTTCGGCAACTGTGTAGAGAGGAGTTTGCCTCAATGCGAGACACCATCACCACCGAGGTGTCAGAGTCGGTTGCCAAGACCATCACCTCCAACCACAAATCGTTGCTCAAGATGCTGTCGTCCATGCAGGGCGAGGTGGCAAAACAATCCAGTGCCATCGAGAGCCAAGTTCAATCGGCGATCGCTCCCAGACTCGACTCGCTCAACAGACGCCTCCAAGCCCAGCTCGACGAGCAGAAGCGCAGCATCGACGCGCTGGAGGGCAGAGCTGACGAGCATGACAAGTCCATCCAGGATCTTCAGGACCAGCTGGCGGAGCTACGTCGCCAGATGGCCATCGCTGAACAGACTCCCAGGAAGCAGCTGGCTGCTCCCACCTCCTTCGACCGCGAGGAGGACACCACGATCGTTGTTGCCGTCTCACAGCGACCGACTACCTTGGCGTCGGTGGTCTCATCGCTACGCCCGTGGTTCGGTGAGATTGGCTTTGATGATGAACAGTATGAAATCAAGCAGAAAGGCGAGTCCCCGGCCAGGAGGTTCGAGATCTGCTTCTCGGGCTCGGCCACCATCGCCTCGCGCCGTGCCAGCAAGGCCACCTCGCTCCTCAAGGGACCCGATGGCTGGAAAGAGTTCTGGGTCGACCCTCCAGGCGCCGAGCGCTGCCGTCTGCACCTGGGCCCCGACAAGTCGCCCAAGCGCATCAAGACCGAGGTCACCCTCCGCAAGGCCAGGGCGATCATCGAGCTGCAGTACCCAGGCAAGCGATTCTACTCCGACCGCGAGCATGGCGTCCTCTCCATTGGGTGGGACAAGATCATGCACGTCAGCGTCTTCCATGGCGACACCCCGCCCAAGATCTACTGGGACTCTGCGCAGCTTGCCAAGCACGCCATGGCTATCGACACGCTTCGCAATGCTGTCAAGGAGCTCACGCATCCGTCCGACCCCAGCCAGTGGTGTCTTTAGCGCTGCTGGACTATTTCATCTTCCTCCCCCGCCGCCTGGGTCAGCGGCGCCTGCGTTTCGGATCGCTACTTGGAATTCTCGGGCTCTTCTTCAGGCTGGCGGGGATAAGGCCATTCTGAAGAGAAAGTATGTTCTCAGTCTTCGTCCCCTATCCACGGTCATCGCGCTGCAGGAGGTGCACCAGGACCACTTCCAGCTTGACTCGTTCTTCCGATCGATTGCGTCGGGCCTCGCGATCCACTCCAGCTTCATCTCTGACGCAGATGACGGGCATCGGCGGGGTGGGGTTGCTGTGGTGCTTCCGCCGTTGGCTTGTCAGGGCCTCTCCGCTCCGTCGTCATCATCCACTGTCCTGGTTCCTGGCCGAGTGATGCTAGTCCGTGTTTGGGATGACTGCCGCGCGCTCGACATATTCAACATTCACAATCATGGTCTGTCCGCCCAGCAAGTTCGTGAAGTGGCTGCTGCGATGCGAGTATCGCAACGTGCTGCCGCCCTCGACCCCGACATGTACACCACCTTTGTCCTCGGGGACTTCAATTTTGCCACGCACGAGGCTCTCGCGCTCGCTGCCCCCGCGGCGGCCGTGCGCAAGCTGTCGAAGTGCCACCACGTGCTGGCGCCCAAGTGGCGCCAGGCCCTCGCCCTCCTGACCGAGATTGCGTGCGAGGACCCCACGCACTACGAGAAGTTCAACGACTCGTGCGCGACGATCGACCGCGTCTTCTGCTCGATCACGGGCTGGCAGCTCTGCCAGCTGTTTGTCCAGATTGGCACGCTTGGCTCGCCGGCGGCTGTCTTTGACAAAAAGATCTCTGACCATGCTGCTGTTGTTCTCTCGCTTGCCTGCCGCCCGCCTCGTCCAGTGGAGTCCCGCCCCATACCCAAACACCTGTTCTCGGAGCCTGGTTTCAAGCGTCGCCTGGAGGGGCTGTGCTCCTGCATCCCGTGGGACTCCATGTCGCCCCCGTTCAAGGTTGAAAAGTACAAGGAGCTTTTGAAGATTTCGGCCGCGGAGACCAGGGACGCCCTCTTTCGAGACAGGCCACATCACCCGCACACCTGCCTCCTGCTCGCTCGTGCTCTCGCCCGTGTGGTTTGGAGGCAAGACCTGCGCATGGCTTCCAGGCTCCAGGACTCCCACCCCCTGGCCATTGACATGATATCGATTACTGACGGGAAGGTCGAGATCCGCCACCCGCCGTCCTTCCAGGCTCGGGTCGACCAGGTCCAGACTGAGGCTGCTGAGTCCGCGAAGGCTGAACTTGAAGATCGCAGACGGCGTGAAGGTGACCGCGTCCAGATTCGTGCCCAGGTCCGCGCACTTGAACGGCGCGCTCGTCTCTGGTCCCCTCTCAACCGAAGGATATCGCTCTCAGCGGTTATTGCGCCTGATGGCTCGGCGGTCAGCCTCCCATCTGATCGACTGCGGGTACTCTCGGAGCACTGGGCCCCTGTCTTCCAGAAAAAGCCGTGGGACGCCGCTGCTGCTGCTCCTTACCTACGCCGCCTTGCCCCTGACCTTCCTGCCGACCTACACCTCCCCCCGCCGTCGAAAAATATGCTACGGCGTGCGATTCGTTCTGCCCAACACTCTGCCCCTGGGCCTGATGCTCTCCCGTATGCTGCGTGGGCGGCGTCCTCGTGGGGGGCTGACATATTATGGGGCGCTCTTGGCTGGGTTCTCAGGGGCCAGGAGCTGTTTGCGAATACTAGTGACACGATCCAGATTTTTCTGCCCAAAAACGTCACGGACTTGGAGCTCCGCGATGCCAGCTGCTCCCGCTCCCCAGACAAGGTTCGGGTCTTGGGCCTCAGGAACTGCGACCTGAAGCTCATCTCGTCCACTGTCAATCGGGCGATCCGACCCGCCCTGGTATCTCTCGCCCCGCCGTGCCAGCGCGGATTCATTCCGGGTAGGAATTTCGGCAACAACATCCTCGAGCTCGACGTGTCGTCCCGCCAGATGTCGGTCGTGCCTCACGGGTCTACCGATATCCCTGTGTTGTATTCCTTGGACTTCGGCCAGGCCTTCCCGTCCCTGAATCAGGACTTCCTCATTCTCTCCCTTAGGGCCCTCAAGCTGCCTGAGGCATTCGTGTCCTTCGTCACGTTCCTATATGCATCGGTGGAAGGGGTTGTCTCGCACCTAGGCTCGCTAGTGCACATCTTCTGGATCCAGAGC